ATGTTGAACCCCCTTGCATCCCTTTTGTGAAACCCACTTGATGTATTATTATTTTTGATGTGGTGCTGGATTCTGTTGGCTAGGATTTTGTTGAGAATTTTTGCATCTATGTTCATGAGGGATATTGGTCTATAATTTTCTCTCTTAGTGATGTCTTTCCCTGTTTTTGGTATGAGGTTTACCCTTGCTTCATTAAAAGTTTTAGGAAGTTTTCCATCCTCTATTATACTCTGGAATAATTTGAGTAGAATTTGTGACAGCTCTTCCCTGAATGTTTCGTGGAACTCAGCACTGAAGTCTGGGCCCAGACTTCTTTTGGTTGGGAGTTTTTTGATGACCTGATCAATTTCTTCTTTTGTTATGGATCTTCTTTTCTGCTTCACTCTGTGCACATTTAGCTAGGTTGTGTTTTTCTAAAAATGTATCCCATCTCTTCTAAGTTTTTGAATTTGTTGGAGTACATGTCTTCATAGTATTTTGTTATTATCCTTTTGATTTCATTTGGTTCCATTGTGACATCACCCATGTGGTTTCTAATAAGAGTTGTTTGTGTTTTCTCCCTCTTTTTTTTATTTTTTATGTTTGCCAATGGTTTGTCAGTTTTATTAATACTTTCAAAGAATCAGCTTCTTGTCCTGTTGATTCTTTCTATAATTTTTCTGTTTTTCTTCTCATTTATTTCTGCTCTTATCTTTATTATATCTTTCCTTTGTTGACCTTAGGTTCCCTCTGTTGGTCTGTTTCTAATTATTGGAGATGCTGTGTTAATGTGTTAATTTTGTTTTTTTCTTCCTTTTGGATGTGTGTATTTAACACAATAAATTGTCCTCTCAGCACCGCAGTCCCGGTGTCCCAACGATTTTGGTGTGTTGTATTTTCATTCTCATTTGTTTCTAAGAAATTTATGAATTCACATTTAATTTCTTCTTTTACCCAGTCACTTTTCAGCAGTGTGTTCTTCAGTTTCTATGTATTCGACTTTATTTCCTTGTTCTTCTTATTGTTGATTTCTAGTTTTATAGCATTTGTGGTCTGAAAAGATGCTTTGTAGTATTTTGATGTGTGTAACCTTATTGATGCTTCCTTTTGACCTAATACATTGTCAATTCTGGAGAATGGTCCATGTGCACTGAAATTCCATTATCTTTTATTTACTTTTTCCCATGAACTTTTTGTAGCCTCCTTATATAGCTTCCTAAATGGTTCCAGTTTTTCAAAAAAGACTAATTAATGTCTGATTATTTTTGAACTGAATACTCAGTAACTTGTTTTTATTACTTTTTTTTAAAAATGTCATTTATTGAAAGGATATGACTAATAAATTTAAGGAACACCTAATTTCTTTCATTTATTGTGAATGTATTGAAAACATAGGCTTGACAGAAATAGTATCCAGTTCACTGAGTTCTTATTCTTAAAAAATATAAAATGGAAACTCTTCCTGAAATAATCCTAGAAACTGTTACTGATTTTTAAATATAGAATGCAGTATTCTTTAAACTAAAATGAGCAACTATGTAATTACCTTTCTCACTAAGAAGAAGGTAATGAAGACAATAGTCATTAGGAAGTTAAGTGGCCGTTTTCAGTTTTTAAGCTTACGCCATAGCCCATTTATTTAGTACAGAGGGAGTTCTGATTCCTTCAAGTTCGTTTTACACTCAGACTGTTAGAAACATCATGATTTTGTCTTAAAGAAAACTTTTAGGATTGTCAGAATGACTAGGGATAGGCAAGATATTAGTTTGGTTCCTTTTTTCAGGTTCAGACCTCATACTTCCATGATTACAGATATTTTCTGGATTTTCCCAAGCTTACACTGAGTGTGTCATTAGGAGTATAGGGGAATGTAGACTATGACTATGCCAGGTGACAGAGTCAGAGGAGGTCACCAGAATGACTGTCTATAAATTTTTTGTGCAGTGTTTCAACAGAAAATTTTTTCTTTCTAAAAATATCCCTGTATTTAGTTATAACAACAAAAACATTTTACATAAACTTAATTGACCTGTGTCAGTACATCTACAAGTGTAAATCTCTATATTAATTTACTTTTTGAAGGTTCTAGTGTGCTCCAGACAGAGGTGTCATTAGTACCCAATTACAGTGACCCTTGGAGTCACATGGTTTTATCTGTGTGCAGTACAAACATGCATTGCTCTTTGCTTTGGTGCTGGTGTTTTCATAACCATTGATTTCTGTCAGTTGTCCTGGTGTTTTAGCTACAATATTGTGGCAATTAGTATTTGTGAACCTGTAGCAGTAAATTTTTTTGAGAATGAACTAATAATTCAAGAGAAAAATGTTAAAAGTCTGCTACGCAGTTATTACTAGTATTGTAACTACTAAGTTATAATTCAATGTAGAAATATTTTACAAAACATTTATTTTATTTTCATTTAAGCAATGTAAAACTGTATTTGTCACCTATTATTCTTTGAAATTGACCACCAACGTTACTAAGGATTCTGTGATCTGGCATGAGAGAACATGGGGAGTGATGTCATGAGTTATCTATTACACTGGGTAGTACCAGTCCTCGTGAGGCTGCTGGGAATGAATGATTTCCAAGTGTTCATTTTTATGTGTTTTTTTCAATAATATGGTTACTGAGGGTCAAAAATAAACTAGGCTGTGGAGATACAGAAGTTAATTAGACTTGATTCTTTTTTCTAAATATAGCAGGAGAAAAAAGAGAACCATGATCTATTAATGCATGGTGGCATGTCATTGCATTAATACATATTTAGTGTATTAATCATCCTCAAAGTGGCTCAATATTCAGCCAAGCAATAGACAGGTCTGTAAGGGGGAAAATAACAATAACACACACCTTAAAACTATCACTGATTTGAGATGAGATGGCATCATTTACCCAAGGACAAAGTTCAAAAGATTTAGGAAATAAGGAAAAATAGAAATAGGAAGCAGCAAGGAAGTGGGATTATGGATGTTTATTGAGGATATTGAAATCAGTGTGGTGAAACAAAATGTACATGAATTGTTGAATGTGAAACTGTTGATCTGCTCTGTAAACCTTCTCCCAAAACACAATAAAAAGTTCTAAAGAAAAACAAACAATAAGATTAAATACATAACTATAAGTAAATGAATGTTTAGTATGATCACACAGAATGGAGAAGTTAATTATAGGAAGAGAAGATTGAAGTCAGGGAAAACTTTACAGCAGAAGTATGTACTGAATCATAAATGAAGAATAATGTATCACTAGGTGGACAAAGAGAACAGGTTTGCTGGCTGTGTGAGAGTGAGTAGAATAAGAAATATAAGAGATAACAGTACAAATGTAAGTAATTCTGTTTGCTAGAACTCAATTGGATGGCACTTTGTAGTCAAACTTCATAACAAAAGAAAAGCTTACTGAGGTTAGCAAGGACTAGATTCTGGGTCTCATATTCATCATTAACATTTTGGAACTAAATAAAATACTTTAATGTAAAAGCTGATGTAATCAGTCTTGTATTTTATAGTGTTCATTCTGGCAGCACTGTGTGGAAGTAACGAGCCTATCATTCTTAGATATGGTCTCATACTCAGCCTGAAATGTTCTTTTCTCAAATTCTTACCAAAACCACTCACAAGATACCAACTAAAATACCTATACTTTTATCAACTGTTTTTTTTCATTCACTTTTTGCCTCACATACTCCAAAAAAAAATCATCAATTCTTACTTTTCTGAGCACCCGTTTCTTAATTAGTTCTTAATTTCTACAAATATTCTGTCTTGAATTCTAATTGGTAAATAAAAAACTTAAAAATACTCTCTAGTACTTTGAGCAGACTAATTGCTCATTCATACTATTTCATACATGAAGTCCACAGGAATTAGTTTCTTCCTCAAAACTAAGATAAGGTTCTTTGTGCAGCTTACTGTTTTAAAAGTACAGATTTCCATAAGAATGGTAGGAATTATTTCCATAGTCAAAATGTCATTACTTTGCTAAATGGTACCTAGTTTCCAGCATCACTGCTCTGTGCATATAACATAATGAAAAATTTCTATTTACTTATAAAGGTAATATGAGGTTTGCTTATTTTTCAAGTGACAGGAGATTGCAATATAGAGTACCTGAGCTGATAAAATGAATATAAAATGCACGCTACAAAAATTTTCAGTATAAATTAGTAAATTAAGGGTGAAAACATTTTAGTTGGTAACTCAAATTATGTATAAAATTAAAATGACATTTTAAAATATATTTTTTTCTTTTTTAAATAAGTATTATACATGTTGTTATAAAATAATAGTTATTCCCACCATAATATAGAGAAGATTTCATTAGCTCATTTATGAAAGATTTCTTACAGTAATTTATAGCCAGTAAATGTTTAAAAATGGAAGGCTACTGTGTAATGATTTGAGGGAAGATTTGAGAGTTTTCGCAACATGATTCACATTTCTCATAACAATTTTCCTGAATTGTCTGTGCTCATATTTTATACAGTCATGTTTTAGAGCTACCTGATTGTTTACTCTTTACTATATATATTTTTTAGGGTGAAGACGGTTTTCCAGGATTCAAAGGTGATATGGGTCTTAAAGGAGACAGAGTAAGTAAGAAGAAAATTTGCACTAATTAATGTAAATTATATGTTGTTGTTGTTAAGTGCCGTTGAGTGGATTCTGATCCATAGCGACCTTGTATAGGGTTTCCAAGGAACAGCTGGTGAGCTTGAACCATAGACCTTGAAGTTCAAACAACTTTGCTGTCTGATGTATTAGCCCACAGCACCACACCAGGATTCTTATCTCTATTTAGAGATATTTATCTCAAACAAAGGATAAACAAAAATTTTATACTATAAGAGTATGTTCACCTTGAATTTCATATGAATATTAGGAGTCAGTTAGTTTGTTCACCAACATTTTTATATGAAGATTTAATTTTGAGGAGTTTATGTATAATCAGTTGTCTTTTAGGTTTTATGTTATTTTCTACATACTTAATTTTATAGATATAGATGCTGTTGTTTTTAAGTGCCAATAACTCGATTCTGATTCATAGTGACCCTAAATAGAGTTACTGAGGAGTTACTGGTAAGTTTGAACTGCTGACATTTTGATTCAGACAGACCTTGTGATCCAGTGTGTATCCTACCACACCATACTAGGAGTTCCATAAATATAGATGTATAGTGTATATTGCCACAACTATATAAAATGATAGAATTAAAAGAAGCAATTTGATAGGTTTGTTTAAAAA